AATAATTGTTGGTGCTATATCCTTGTTAAGTGTTTGGCCGAGCTTCTCCTCCAATTTGTGGTGTGTTTCTTGCTGTTATCACGCCATGGAGGGACGAAGTACCCTCGAAGGTTTGTCGAGAAGGGACCGCTATTCTAATTTTATTTTTTTATGTTGCTAAAATTTTAGCTTGAAAACATACCGGACCAGTCAAAATCGTTTTATTATTTTTGATAAAATAGCAGTTGAAAGACGTGCAAACTGAAATCGGCTTGGAATTAAAATTTTTTTGCATGGCATTTTTTTCTGCCATATGTATAAAGAAATTTTGAAAAATCTGCGCGAATTATTAGCCGCATGAAAATTGAGCTTTTTGAAATTGAAAATTGAAACTAATAGCCCGAAATTCTCACTAAAAAGTTGGAAACTCTGATGACCATTTTTTTAAATTTGGCAAATTTTTATAAAATCTTGTACAAGGTGCGAAACTATGAGTTGCATAGTTTTCGTTGCAGTGTAAGCTAAATTGTACAAAAAAAAAACAAGTCAAAGAAAAATAATTGGTCAAAATTTATACACAAGTAGCGTCCATAATTACATATATGGCCACCACTGTGTATTAGGGTGGCCCTTAAAATTGTTAACAAATTTTTCAAGCAAAAAATCGACAGAATTTTAACGTGAAATCTGATACATAATTTTACCGTATTATTGAAACTTTTTCTTATTAATTTATAAGGTCACTGGTCAAAGTCAAATTTTTTTCAAGTTTTTACGAAAAAGAAAATAAATTTTTTCAAACGCTGATAGTGACCCCTATTTTTTAATTTTAATACTTTCCAGGATGCCTTCTGCTAAATTAATATTTCGTCTTTCTAGCTAATCTCATTGCGCAATTTCATTTGCTTATTTTTTCACCACAATTTTATTTATCCACCAATTTTCTTCGTTAGGAGCTTGATTTTTTCTTAAAAAAAACGAAGAAATTGACAAAAAAAAACTTCCCCTGTTAATGGTTGATTTTTTTTTCATAAAACTTCCTCACTAAATACCTTAACATTTTGACATGGTATGGATAGGGATGCAAACGATATATCGACCGACAAAATTTTATCGGACACCACCTTTAGAGTTCTGCCACCTTTAGAGTTTTCATGTAGGATTTATTTAACGTATAAAAGTCTATAACGAAGGAGCGCCCCCCTCTGGACGGGCCTGGATATAAGCGTGCAGTTTTTACCAGAAAATGGAAGCTTGCCAGCACACCCACGACAAATGTAAACGTATTCTAGCGTACATACCTAATTATCTATATATATATGTATGTATGTATGTACATATGGTAAAAATTCAGACAAGAGACAGTCACGTAAACATATGTATATGTACATATGTATGTTTGTACACAGCTATTTACTGTAGCTGAAATTATAGTGTGCATTTTTGCAGATGAGCAGATAGTAGGTACATATGCACGCATGTACATACCTTATTAATTATTCACTTACCTAAGAGAAGAACGCATATTTTTGGAATAACGAGTATTTGTGCTAATAAGTGGGTTAATGTGTACCTGAAGTTTTTTGTAAATTAAATGCAAAAAATGTTAATAACTACATATACATAAAAAAATTTAAATATATTAATTTATATTATTTAAAAATTTAAATGGTTAAGCGAACTTAAAAAAATTTAATTCATATAGCTTTTGTATACATCTGCATCTTGTTTATTATTTTTCACAAATCTAGTTATGTGATGGTGCGACGCTAATGAACCGACCTTATGAAACACAACAAAGAACAATTAACCTTGAAGACAATTGAAGAAACCAAATTTTTCTGGTAGTCTGAATTGAATATGGAAAAGTAATTTCTCAGTTTTCCCAGGCCGGCGATTTTAAGCGTTAAGTAATGGAAATTTAGCAGCTCTGGTACATATGAATGTAAATGGGTGCGTCTGAAAAATTATGCCAATCCTATTCATGCAAATTTCTCTTCGTTTAATGAAATAAAGGTAAGCCGTTATAGAATTGTTTGACATTTTTAAGTTTCAAAATTTTTAGAAAATCGCGTTAGAGTTTTTGCAAGCTTTTTATGTACGAGGTGCATTATCTCAATAATTTTCATATCTATTAATGAAATTTCGTAACCTTGATTTTAGCTTGCTTTTTGTGGAGATAAACAAATTTGAAGCAAATAATTGATAAAAAAGCTCGCAAAAATTGTACACATTTTGAATAATCCTCTAGCACCTAAGTACATACTTTCGCTTTTAACGGGTGATTTTTTAAGAGCTTGATACCTTTTTTTTAAAAAAAAACGCATAAAATTTGCAAAATCTCATCGGTTCTTTATTTGA